GGGGGGGGGTCAAAGGTGCAGTTGGTATTAAAAGAAGGGAATTGGGTGTTCAGGTTTGGAGCTTGGTTTAAATGGTTGAGAAGCTTCAAAATTATAATCTGACCCAAACCGATTTTAGAACTTGATCATAATCATAACATAAAATGTAATTATTCTCTTTATTTGACAAAACCTTGAGTTTTACCTTTAAACAAAATGAAGATCTATATAATAAAACAAGATTCATATGTATGTTCCCATTGACCGGCTAAACAGCTGGACCGAATGGGCTGAACATTTTTGTGGACACTAATGGTTAGCACGGGGTTGACATAGGCTAAACTAATTTTTTATTTTTTTCCAAAATATTCATTTTTATTAAAAAAAATGTAACGGGCAACGCCTGGCTCTTCAGCTAGTATATTATAAAATGAAAGTTTTTAAATTGTTTTTCATGAAATTAAAATACCCCATTATAATAAAAATGTATTCAATAAAGACACAGCATAGTTACACAAAAAATATATTTCTTAAAAACACAGAATATTCAAATAAATTTTTTAGACAAAAATTGTATTTTATTAAAAACACAGCATTTTGAACCAATTTTACCTAATTGTCTAATTAATAGGATGTACTCTGCACCTTGCAAATATTTTTTCAACTCTTGTTTTCTTTAAAGCTGACGTGATGAATATCATTTTAAAGGGACTGATGAATATCATTTTAAAGGGACTGATGAATATCATTTTAAAGGGACTGTCAGCGTAATTTCAAGGGACCCTGTCTATGCACAGATGGCAATGCCCGGTTCACGGTTCTGTCAATATTTCAGAAAACTGTGACTTTCGATCACAATATGACCCCTTTTACATAATTTTATAGCCTTTTTATCAGTAATACTTTTTTGTTGGCGTATACATTTTGAATGAAAAAGTATAAAAAAAATCTAAGTCTAAAGACTGTTGAGTAAAAGGCGAAAACATGTTTGATTTAAAAAAAAATGAAACCGAATGCTTCTCTCTCTCGTTAGTTCAGGGTGGATTCACAACGATACTCTTTTATCTTTGTCTGCTCAAGTTTGAATTAGAAATCAATGTTTATAATTCATGGCGAACTAATAATTTTCTATTATGGGTTTTATAGAAAAGTTGCCTGCACATTTCTACTGCAGGAAAATAAATAGGAATTATCACAATTAAAAACTTTTAAACGTAAAAAAAATAACTTCCTAATCATGATAAAGGTTTTAAAACAAATTTAATTTAATTGGCAGCCTTGCCCTTGCATCAATTAAATGCCCTTGTTAATAAAACTAGAATGCAGTATTCTAATTAACGGTTTTGTATCTCATTATAAATATTAGATGCTTAGATAATTATTTATCTGAATTTACCCCCAGGATTCTAGGGGGGGGTAAATAACCCCAATAACCCCCCTTATATCCGCCACTGGCTACAGGGTAAGTAATAAAACAAAATCAACAAAACAAAAAGTTTAAAAGTATGATTTTTAGTTACAAGGTGAATAAAAAGTAGAAAGGGTAAACCCTTTTCAAGCTATGCATGTATTGAACCGAACCAAAAAAACACAATTTTTTAAACGAGATGTTTTTATTTTGAGCTCGGGAGTTGAAAAAATCTTCAAACTCATTAATCAAGAAGCTATATTGTGTCTCATAAGATTAAGTCTAATGGATGTACCCATAAGAGAATATATTTATTTTACAGCTGGTTACCTACAAAAGTCTTCATATACTGTTTTGAGCAGATTTTTTTAGTCTTATTTCTAAGGTTCATAATTCTGGGATCGTCGTTTTGTATTTGCTGAATATGATCCGTTTAAACCTACTATTTTTATACAAAATTTTATATATAGATTTTTGTTTAAACTTGATACAGTTTTCTATCCATTTCTCGAGACAGGAACATCAGATAGAACTCTCATAGGTCCATGGATAAACTCCTAAAATACTTCGGTTTCAGCCTATACCCCTTTTCATTTTTCCTTTACAGTCCCTTTAAGGTACCAATACTTGTAGGTAACTCTGTAATAATGATGGTTAGACTTGTGGCAAAGAGTTAAAATCTTGATTCCGAAGTTTTACTAACTCTAAACTTAATTTTGAACATCACGAAATCTTCTTTATATAGTTCATTCTTCACACTCT